TCTGTATGTGCACTGTATGTACATTGCCTCACCTCATCCCTTGCATAACCTGTGATGGAAGCTCTGTTCTCCCTGATTACCAAAGGGAAACTGAGGTTCAGAGATTTCCCCAAATCCACAGTGCTAAGTACTGAGCTGAGACTCAAACCCAGATCTCTCTTCTACTCCATAATGCCTCAGTTTGGTAGAAAAAGCCAAGGAGGACATTCCAGGTGGAAGGAAGCAGCAGGAACAAAGATGGGAGGCTGGAATGAAAAGGATGGTTATGAAAGGGGTAAGCCAGGCATCTAGCTTTCCATCCTCATAGAGCAGAGGGTGGGACTTCCTAGCAGCTCCACCCACTGCAGAGGATTGCAATAGTGTGGGGGTGGGTTGGAGGTTCTGGGGTTCCTGGAAGGTGACTGAAGCCATAAGCCTGGCTCTGTGCCCATTGTGTGGCTAGAACTAGCCCTGCCCAGTAGTGCTGGGATGGAGAGCCCTGGCCTGAGGGCTAGTTCCTTGAAGTCTAGCCCCCACCGCTCCCCACCAACGCTGGTGCATCTTAAGCCTTGGCTCTCTCCCAGAATCAGGCTGCTTACTGGCTCCAGTTCTGTCCCAGGCATCTCTCTATCAGAGCCTGGCCTCCAGCTAGGGTGTTCTCAGTTCCTGGAGCCCCTGACACACTCTGGCCTCCAGGTATCTAAGCTTTCATTTCCTAATAATAATAGACTCACATTTGTATTGATCCCATTTTACCTTCCCAACAATTCCACTAAGGGGGAATATCATCATTATTTCCATTTTTCAGATGAGGAAATAAAGCTCAGAAAGATTGGGTAGCCCAAGGACACATAGCCATTAAATATCAGGACCCAAGCCCAAGCCTAAATTTTTTTTTTTTGTTTTTTTTTTAGAGAGACAGGTTCTCACTATGTTACCCAGGCTGGCCTCAAACTCCTGGGCTCAAGTGATCCTTCCACCTCAGCCTTCTAAGTAGCTGGAACTACAGGCACACACTATCATACCTGGCTCTAAGCCCAAGTCTTGAGATTCAAGATCTGGTACCTTTTCTTTCTAGATTTAGAAGTAAGCCCCAGGGGTTATTTCTTCTGAGCTATTCTAGACTCATCTGTCAGCCTTCATCCATTTGGGTGTCAGTGCTGGACTTTGCTAGCAAAGTCTTAGATACCAGGGTCTGAAAATGTCAGTCCTACCCATTCCCTTGAAAGCCCCATGCTCTTTTGGCCTGAGAGTGGGGTTCGGTATCCTTTGAACTCCTGATTCAACCCTCTAAAAATTCTTACCTAAGGAAAAAACCTCCTCAAAGACTTGTTTTAAATCCTATCCCAAACTGGAGCACAAGGCAAAATGAGCGGATGGTTCAGGAGGCCTGCTCCACCACCTGGGCTTCAGTTTATACCACTCCTCTTACTTTAGTAAGAGGGGCCTCACTATTCCCTGGTCCCAGACGCCTCCACCACCTCCCCCCACCATCAGGGTAACCGCCTGGCTCTGCTGCCTAGGATAACGCCCAGCCCTCCCCTTGCCCCCTGTGGCTGCCTCCCCTTTCCGTCTGTTGAGAGAGGAAGCCAGGGGGTGGCGGGTGCAACCCTGCAGGGCACTGATAAAGGGCCAGCCCTCCCCCACCCTCTGAGGCCACTGCGGTCAGACCAGCAGTCAAGCAGGCAAAGCAGCCAGCTCCCTCTGGGACCCGTGGCCCTCCCCTGGTTCCACCTCTACCCACCCCACCCTTCTCGGGAAGCTGGTTGCATAACCCAGTGGGTGTTTGGCAACATTGCTTGTGGCTTGACCTGCTGGTGGTGGTGGTGTACACACACCACACGTTATGGGGGTGAGGGTGGAGATGGGTTGACCAGTGTGACAACAAGTCAACCTCTTGCAGGTGGGTGAGCAGAATAGGTGAGGAATGAGAAAATAGTAAAGATATGGGGCTGCATTTTTGTCTGTATTCTGTCTCTGCTACCTGGGTTGAAGTGGGAGAATCTTGGGGACAGGAAAATTTTAGGCATCCCTGCCCTGCCAAGCCGAAGACACTATCCAACCCATTCAGGGTGGTGCTTGGCTCCTACTGCCCTGAAATTCATAAATCAAGCAAAGGAGACTTAACGCAAAAGGGTGTTGACTCTGGACTTCAGGAATAGGAGAGGAAGGAGGTAACCAACCCTTTATAGCCTTTGCCTGAGGGTTTACTGGGTGCTGTGGAGCCAGGACACAGCCTGGGAGCTGCAGTGAAGTCCTCTTCCTATAGGAGAGGAGTGGGGGTGAGGAGAAACACCTCTGCCCTAGCCAGTCACCTAAATGGAGGTTGTCTCTTCACTTAGCTCACCCTACATGACCATGTCTGTCCCCCCAAAAAGTAGGAAGTGACTTCAAATACTTCTTTGACTCCCTCTTGCTTACAGAATAAAATACAATAGCTTCACTTTCAAGACACTTTATAATCTAGCCCCAGTCAAATTTCCAGGCTTTTCTTCTATTGCTTTCTACCGCATACCCCACCCTAGGAAACCCAAAGTATCACTCTGTGTTTTATGCCTCTGTGCAGCCACATCTTTGCTTAGAATACTCATTTCCCCTTCTCTTCCTGGGGAATTCCTAATCATTCTCCACAGTCCAGCTTAATAGTCACCTCCTCTATGAAGCCTTCCTTGAATTTCATCAGGCAGAACTTATTTCCTCTTGTGCTCCATACCACTTTATATAGACCTTTATTGATGTAATTCTCTAACGAGAATCTGAGGACACAGACAATGTCTTACTCATCTTTGTGTTCCTGGAGTGTAAAACACAGTAGACACTCAATTTATTTGTTGAATGAATGAATGATTAGGCTTGTGTTATCCATAGTTGGAGCTGTAACACCACAGTGTCCTGAACTGGAAATTCTTATTCAATAAATGTTTGTTGCCTATCTGTAATCTGATATCATTATATAATCAGCCACAAGTGTGACTATCATCACCGCTCATCCCCTCTGGGGGGCCCAAATAAGTATGCAAGCAAGAGAGCTATAGCTGAAAGCCCATGTATGTGACCCAGATTCATGCCCAGGTCATCAAAAGATTCTGAACTCACATGTAACATGAGATGAAGTCATTAGATTGCCTCCTGTCCTACGTAGATCAGGCATGCACAGTCATGATCTACTAGGATAGGGATGGAATTCAAAGCATGCAACCATGAGTTTGGAATAGGCATTAATCAATTCCAGCACATGCAGGTGGCATAGGAGGCTCCTTGTGGTGTCAGGATTGCCTCTTCACTTGCATAGTTGTGTTGCTGGGCTGAGGGGATTTTAGGGGAGCACTGGATGGCCTGGGTAGTGGTACAGTAGTGGGGGACACTTGGAGGCCTCACAGAAGCTGCTCTTTATCAACTAGGACAGAACATTTTCCATTATTTTAACAGTGAACACAATCCTATTAGAGCATGCTGGCTGAATGCCAGCCCTCCCTTGAGATGGCACCTGTCCACTTCCCCAGTCATCAAATGTTTCTAATATAACTTGAACACCATAAGAAGAAAAAAATAGAGAAAAAAATGTAAGCTGCTGCTATAAGGATTTAAGCTAGACTTATGAAGGACATTCCTTAGAGCTGAAAGCCACTAAAAGCTAGAAAGAAGGAAGATCTCCGTCTCTCTCATTTTTTTTTTTTTTTTTTTTGTAGAGAAAGGGTCTCACTCTGTCACCCAGGCTGGAGTGCAGGGATTTAAGCAATCCTCCTGCCTCAGCCCTCCCTAGTAGCTAGGCACACACTGCCATGGCTGGCTAGTTTGCGGGTTTTTTGTTTTTTTTTTGAGACAGAGTCTCACTTTGTTGCCCGGGCTAGAGTGAGTGCCGTGGCATCAGCCTCGCTCGCAGCAACCTCAAACTCCTGGGCTCAAGCGATCCTCCTGCCTCAGCCTCCTGAGTAGCTGGGACTACAGGCATGCGCCACCATGCCCGGCTAATTTTTTCTACATATATTAGTTGGCCAATTAATTTCTTTCCATTTATAGTAGAGATGGGGTCTCGCTCTTGCTCATGCTGGTTTCGAACTCCTGACCTTGAGCAATCCGCCCGCCTCAGCCTCCCAGAGTGCTAGGATTACAGGCGTGAGCCACCGCGCCTGGCCTGCGGGTTTTTTTGTTTTCCATTTTTTTTTTATAGATGAGGGTCTCACTATGTTGCCTAGGCTGGTCTCAAATTCCTGGCCTCTAGTGATCCTCCCACCTCAGCCTTCCAGTTGCTGGGATTATAGGTGTGAGCCACCATGCCCATTGAGACAAAAAGATGAATGAGTGACTTCTGAGGGTACCTGATAGCCCACACACATGTCCTGGCCTGTCCTAGATATGTGGTTGCCATGTGGCTGGGGTGCCTTGCCTGGGAGAAAGGAGGACAGAGGGCACCCAGGGTTCCCTTTAAAGGAGATGAATAATCTCCCTGCTGGGCAGCCCCCCACCTAACTCCCCTCACACACTAACAAAAAACCTGGCCAAGAAAGAGGCCTTTGTCCTAGGACATCTGAGGCTGAGGGGGGAGGGGAGAAGACTACAGGTGAAAGGACACTTCAAAGCAGCCAGCTGCCCCTCCTCCTCAAAATAGCTCCCCTACCCTGTTCCTAGAGCCCAGGTTTTCCTTAAAGGAAGGCTGTGTCCTAAACGCTCACCTGCCTAAACAGCTGGGAGGCTAGACACCTGGTCCTTACCTTCAGCTGCCTTCCACTTTGCTATGACTCAGTTTCCCTGTCCCTACAACCTACATAAAGTGTAGAGATCATTTTTGACTGGACCATCACGATGGAACTCATCACCGGCATGGAAGAAACGCAGACCTGGCTGGACTCCTAGGCTGAAAGGAGGGCTGGAGAGGCTTGGAGCCATGTGTGCCCCCGCTGGCAGGGAGCAAGGTGGGGGCGGGGTGTAGGCAGAAACCACACCAGGCTCAAGTTTCCTCTCTTGGCCAGAAGGGGCAGGAGGAGAGGAGAGCCTGGGGAAAGGGGAGGGTTGGAGGAAGGACGAAGAACTCAGGCCGAGGGCGTCAGGGAGGAGGCTGGTGCGCCTGCTTGGGGCTCCCTGCCCCAGCCCAGCCCCAGCCCCAGCCCCAGCCTCCTCACTCAGAGCTCAGCAATGGCCCGGGGGCGGGGCGCGGCCCTCGCGGATTCTCAGAGGTAGCAGGGATCCTCGCCCAGGAGGTGTCAGCTCAGGCCCAGCCTCCCCAGAGACAGCACCCGGAGCCTCCTCTCCTCACCTTGCTGGGACTCTGCCACAGGTGCTTGAAAGGTGGGGTGGGCAGGTGGATTCCAGTGGGATCTGAGGGGCAGGCTGGGAAGGGCGAAGGTAGAGGGGGAAATAACCAACTTTCAGGATGTTCTTAGGAGGTCTCAGACCTTCCCAGACTGCTCCAGGGTTGAGAATCTGACATCCTTGGGAACTCCTCTATGAAAAGACCTAGATGGCTTCCTGAGTGCTCTGGGATCTTTGGGGTGGGAGACTGGATGGGGACTACAGGGTGGGGCTGGGAACCCTTCAGCTAGTGGGCTGCCCTGGGAGAGAGAGTAGACTCCCAGCTACATGCTGTCACCCTCTCCCCTACCCATTCCAATCCACTGCCCTGTCCAGCCAGCTGGGAAGGCTTGGGGGAAGCTAAGGAATTGAAGACACTGGATCTCTGGACCTCTGAGAAGTGTTGTTGCAGCAAGATGGGGTGGTGGGTACTGGGTGTTCCCCTCCCATTACTCCTTCTCTTTCGGGGGGCCCAGGAACAGTAGAGATCCGCTGGAACTGGAAGGGAGATGAAGGCATCCTAACCCCAGCGGAGTTCCTTCTGACTGGAACTCTTGGCTGATTGGGAAGTAGGGCATTGGGAAGCAGGGGAAGAGAAGAGGGGATATCAGATCTGCTGGGGTTGGGATTCTCTAGTCATTGGTCCCAATGGACTGGAATTTGGGGTCCAGGCATAGAGTGACAGGACAGTAGAAACTTGCCCCTCTCTCTCTTGTTTCCACACACAGGTTTGAGTCGGGCATGCCCCTGGGGCACTGAGCTCACTCTGATTGCCTCTCTCTTCCCGTTTCCTTCATTTTTCTTGTTTCTCTATCTCACCTCTGTGTGCCTCTCTTTGGGGATTCTCCCTAATATTTCTAAATAGGTTGCTTACTTGCCAACCCACACCCCACGTTTTACTGACCTCTCCCCATCCTTTTACTGCCTGTACTGACACTTGGAGAGGTGGGATAGTCCAATGAGCTTCAGAAGAGGGACCCTTCTCATCATTCCCTCTTGTCAAGGAAGTTGAGAGCCCTGGAGCAGCAGTGGAGGCCAAATGCCTTCCTCTCCCCAGCATCACTCTCCAAATGCTGCTGGCCCCATATCCCTGATCATAAAGCTCCATATCATTCTGTGAGTATTGGGGGGACTATGATAAAATCTTTCTGGGCAGGTAGGACCATCAGGATAAGAATAAAGAAGATGGCCGGGTGCGGTGGCTCACGCCTGTAATCCTAGCACTCTGGGAGGCCGAGGCGGGCGGATTGCTCGAGGTCAGGAGTTCGAAACCAGCCTGAGCAAGAGCGAGACCCTGTCTCTACTATAAACTTTTATTTTTTATTTTTTTTTTTGAGACAGAGTCTCGCTTTGTTGCCTAGGCTAGAGTGAGTGCCGTGGCGTCAGCCTAGCTCACAGCAACCTCAAACTCCTGGGCTCAAGCGATCCTTCTGTCTCAGCCTCCCAAGTAGCTGGGACTACAGGCATGAGCCACCATGCCTGGCTAATTTTTTCTATATATATTAGTTGGCCAATTAGTTTCTTTCTATTTATAGTAGAGACGGGGTCTCGCTCTTGCTCAGGCTGGTTTCGAACTTCCGACCTCGAGCAATCCACCCGCCTCAGCCTCCCAGAGAGCTAGGATTACAGGCGTGAGCCACCGCGCCCTGCCTGTCTCTACTATAAATAGAAAGAAATTAATTGGCCAACTAATATATATAGAAAAAATTAGCCGGGCATGGTGGCACATGCCTGTAGTCCCAGCTACTCGGGAGGCTGAGGCAGGAGGATTGCTTGAGCCCAAGTGTTTGAGGTTGCTGTGAGCTAGGCTGACGCCACGGCACTCACTCTAGCCTGGGCAACAAAGTGAAACTCTGTCTGGAAAAAAAAAAAAAAAAGAATAAAGAAGATGGATTTTAGTCTCTGCAGATGACTCTAGTTCTACCTGATCCACAATGTTGGGGAATAAGAGAAAGAACACCCAACCCAGTAGGAATAAGATGTTGTGTGACCTTAATACACAGGCTAAACTGTAAAGTGGGAGCTGCTTATTATTGTAAAAGAAAAGGGACACCGGGAAGCCTACTTCCCCAGTACCTCCCCAGTTTCTTTGCTCTATGGTGCAGAATTGGATCTGACTACACCTCCCTCCCTGAGCTATGCCTCTGCCTGCCAGTTCCCCTGTCCTCTGAAATACCTCCTAAGACCCAGAGGGACCTATACCTGGTGTATAGACCACTATCCACCTTTGAGTGTATAGGGAAAAACCTCCTATAGCCTGGTGCAATCTTGCTACTACACTAGAGAGCTGACTGGAGCTAATCCAGACATTTTCCTCAACTCCCTGTCCCCGAACCTCTTTCTTCCCCCTGCTCCTCTCCTTCTATGTTCTCATTTTCCTTTCCCAGGAGGAGGGGGAGACTGAGCTCCAGGTTTTCTTGGGAAGGGGCTGATATATAGGCTCAGAGACAGGGGCTACCTGGAGTCCAAGCTTGCTTGGGTCAAGGGAGTGAAGTTAGAAGCAGCCTAGTGATCATTTTCTGGTCTCTTTTCTGGCTTTGTGTTCTTTCCTGTAAATCCATATGGTTGGACTAGTTTAGCGTTTCTCAAGGCAAGGTTGATCTGTTGTATTAGAATCACTGGGGCACTTGTTAAAATGCTGATTCCTGGGTGCCTGCACCTATGAGTTCAATTCAGTGGGTCTGAGATGGATTTTAAGAATCTGTGTTTTTACAGGTAGCCCAGGAGAATGTAGTGACTCCCTGAGCTAGATGCTACCTACTGCCTCTCACAGCACGGAGGGCCTCTAGTCCTATCTCTATTTAAAGGAACAGACCGAAGGTGAAGCAATTTGGCCAAGGTCATGCATCTTGAAGTCCAGAGAACCCCTTCTCCTACCTCTAGGGCAGGATCTTTGTACTACACCTTAAAAGTTAAATCCAGAAAAATAAAGGAGAGACAAATGGGGGGGTAGGGTGGGTGAAGAACTATGAGGCAATAGTCTTGTCCCTGCCCCTAAACCCCTTCTCCATTCACTTTGCCTTTGGGCAATTTCCGTCAGAACCTGGGTAGGGGAGGGTGGGGTTCCGGTGTTGAAATGGCATCCTGGACAGACATAAACACCCCACCCACTCTGCCCACTGGCCTAAAGCCTGTGCCTACACCAACTCCCAGCTCTGGTGATGGCAATATGACAAGGGAGTGGAGGGAGAAACTAGGGGAAATCCTCTTTCAAAAGGATAATTTGTAGTTTCCACTAATTTTGTGGTAAGTCAAAGAGTGGAATCCATATTAAATAGCTGTGGTGGGCCATCCTTGTGATGAGTGGTCTAAGGTCATGGAATTTGAGGTCATCCAGTCCTATCCTCTGTCCTTCTGTGAGTTTCCTTCACCTCTAGCCTGCTTTCCTTTCCTTATATGGCAGTGCATGTGTGTGCGTGCACGTGTGTGTGTGCATATGTGCAATGTCTAGCTCTAAGAGATCAGGAGGCCCCTGACAAATCTACCTGGGATCTCTTATGGAAGGCAGGTAAAACATTCAGGGAGAGACAGGTATCAGGGAATAGGGAGGCAGCATGAGGAGAGGGACTGACAGAGAGAAGATAAAGGCAGGAGTAAGGGTTTTGCTGAGAACACTAAGCTGTCCAAGCAGAAAGGGACCTCTGTGTTTAACTTGTCCAACTCCCTAGTTTTACAAATGCGGAAACAGAGGTCCGGAGAAGTGCGATGGCTTGCCCAATGCCACACTGCTGCTTTATGGCAGAGCTGCAGCTAGAGTCCAGATCGAAAGAAAAGGGATTGGAGGTGAGTGTGCATTTAAGGCTCTAAAGAGATATTACCCAGAAGAGAAAAGACACAGACTCTACAACCCTAAGCAAGAGCGAGACCCTGTTTCTACCAAAAATAAAAAAAATTAACTGGTGCACCTAATTATGGTGGTGAAACCCTGTAGTCCCAGCTACACCAGAGGCTGAGGCAGGAAGATTACTCGAGCCCAGGAGTTTGAGGTTGCTGTGAGCTATGATGATGCCACTGCACTCTACCCCAAGGGAAAGAGCAAGACCCTGTCTTCAAAAAATCAATAAATAAATAAAAAGAGACAAACTCTACAGAAAGAACTGACTGATGTAGGCTGCCAATAGAGGACTAGAGTATGGAGACACAGGGTGGGATGGAAAGTGCCTGAAGGCATTATAGGCAAGGAGAGTCAGATTCCAGACCTAATCCTGATATTTTTCTGCTTGGATCTCAGTTTCTGAATATGCCTTATAGGATCTTTTTGAAAACCAATCTCATAAACTAATGCTTGTAAAATGCCAGTACAGTTTTTGACAAGTAAGTCTTTGTTGTTGTCATTATATTGCCTCAAAAGAGGAAAGACCTCCTGTTATATGGGTTGGGGTATGGCCAAAATGACCCTGTGAGGACACAGGGAAGAGGTCCTGTGTCTCCAGAGTCCATTCCTACTCTGCCTCTGCTGCCTGCAGCTGATAAACCCCTTATCTGGTGCAGGCGGGGGAGCCAGGGCCAGGATAGGAGGAGAGGGCAGGGCTGCTATCAGCCCCCAGGCCTGGGCCATATCATGGAGAAGGGGAGAGGCTGTCTGCTGGCTCTTTCCACAACTAGTCTTGGGGATCCCCAAGCACGTATTCTCATCTTAGGAAGGAAAGGCATAGACCCTAAAACTGAGGCCAGTGGAGGAAAGCTGGGATGACTTCTGATGTTGCCACAGAAAAGAGAAAACAAACCAAAACAAAAAACCCAGAAGATCTGACTCTGCCCCTGGCTAGAAAAACCATTTTGGGGAGTAAGAAGTAGGGGAAAGAGAAGGCACCTTGTCTGGAAAAAAGGTAAAGACCTATGTGCTTCCAAAGGACCCGACTAGGGCCATAATAGGTGAGGTAGAGATCACACTACAGAAAAAGACTTTCTAGCTTAAGGGGTTGGTTAATGAGACCAGCATGAGTGAGGGGGATGGGGTCTCTCCTTCCCCCATGTGAAGCTGGAGGGAGCCCCTCTCTGGGGCAAACTTGCTGATCCTAGCAGGTGCAGCTCTAACACCCTTCTTCCTTTAACACAGGTTTCTGGGGCCATTTGGGCTTTGGGGGAACCTGGACCAGACCCTGGTCCAGTAGGATGCCCCCGTGTCCTCCCCAGCAGAGCAGGAACAGGGTGATACAGCTGCTCACTCCGGAGCTGGGCGAGATGGAGCTGACTTGGCAAGAGATCATGTCCATCACTGAGCTGCAGGTGAGGAGGGAGCAGGAAGGGAGTGGGGAGTGGGGATGAAGGGAGAAGCAGGGAGTTGGCCTGTACTGAGGCAGGGGGTGGGAGCAGGCAGGGCTCAGGGCTGGAAATGTTGCACATACTAGAAAAGGGAGGGTTGGAGTATGGGGAGATCTGGATGGAAGACACTGAGGAACGTTGAGGAAAAGGGGGTGTGGAGGGGCAGGGATAGGAGTGGTGGGGAGGGAAGGATGTGATTGGGGTGTAGGCTTTCTCAGCAGCCATCTGCTTACATCTCTCTCCACCCCAGCTCCTGCTCTGCCCTCCATTGCTCACCTTATTCTCTTCTGAGTTCCCTCCCCTCAAATCCTGCCCTTTTTCCCTCATTTCCTCCCCCTGCCCTTAGCAGCGGGGCCCCTTTCCCCCAGGTAGCAGTAGTTCAGAGGCCTCAGGAAGGGGAGTCAGACTGTGCCGGGGTCCTCTCCTCCTAGTGGTTGGACAAAAGGGTGACTGTTGGCTTAACAATGATGCCTTTGTCTCCAGCTGGGCTGGAACAGGGTGGCTCCCCGATGTGGGTTGGGGGCCTTGTTTCCAGCATGCTCTCTTCTCCTCACTGCACCTGGGCAGGGACAGAGGAACTGAAGAGGAGAGGGCAGAGCTTGTGCTGGCTCCCCACGGTGTTTCTTAGCCTCCAGCCCGCCCCCTTTTCCTCTCCTGATGCCATGCCTGGTGCCCTCAGCATCTGCCCTAGGCCCTCCTGCCACACAGCAGCTCCCTCTGCTGGGCACACAGGGCATGGCCAGGGTCTGAACTTGACCCTTTGACCCTAGATAACCGCAACAGGAAAGTGTTCTGAGGGGTCATCTTGGATAACAACGCCTTATCTTCCTGAAGGAAATAAAGGAACATGAGCCATTTCAACCCAGCAAGAACTTTCTCCTGAGGAGATTTCATAAATGTTCCAACGTTAGGTAGTCTTTTCTGAAGTCTGACCTCAGTGACTTCCATTCTTGCTTAAGTTGCTTTCTTCTTGGAAGAGGGGCATCACAGCTTTGCAAGAAGCTTCCAGTGATTTTTAGCACCTTATTCTTTCCTTTACTATCTCGCAGGGTCTTTCAGAAGAACCAGCTTGGTCTTGAGAGAGTGCTGGTTTCTCTTCCTGTCTCCAAACCTCTTTGTGTCTTTTCTTGCAGGGTCTAAATGCTCCAAGTGAGCCATCGTTTGAGCCCCAAGCCCCATACCTTGGACCCTCGACACCCCCAACTTACTGCCCCTGTTCAATCCACCCAGATGCTGGCTTCCCCCTTCCTCCACCACCTTATGAGCTCCCAGCATCCACATCCCATGTCTCAGAACCCCCCTACTCCTATGGCAACATGGCCACACCAGTCTCCAAACCACTGACCCTCTCAGGCCTGCTCAGTGAGCCCCTCTCAGACCCCTTGGCCCTCCTGGACATTGGGCTGCCAGCAGGACCACCCAAGCCCCAAGAAGACCTAGAATCTGACTCAGGATTATCCCTCAACTATAGTGATGCTGAATCTCTTGAGCTGGAGGGGACAGAGGTTGGTCGGCGGCGCAGCGAGTATGTAGAGATGTACCCGGTGGAGTACCCCTACTCACTTATGCCCAACTCCTTGGCGCCCCCCAACTATGCCTTGCCACCTACTGAGAACCCCTTGGCCTTAGATCCCTCCTCAGGCCCTGTGCGGGGTAAGCCCACTGCACGGGGGGAGGCAGGGAGTCGGGATGAACGTCGGGCCCTGGCCATGAAGATTCCTTTTCCTACAGACAAGATTGTCAACTTGCCGGTAGATGACTTTAATGAGCTGTTGGCAAGGTACCCGCTGACAGAGAGCCAGCTGGCACTAGTCCGGGACATCCGACGGCGGGGCAAGAACAAGGTGGCTGCCCAGAACTGTCGCAAGAGAAAGCTGGAGACCATCGTGCAGCTGGAGCAGGAGCTCGAGCGGCTGGGCAGTGAACGGGAGCGGCTTCTCAGGGCCCGAGGGGAGGCAGACCGGACCCTGGAAGTCATGCGCCAACAGCTGACAGAGCTGTACCGTGACATTTTCCAGCACCTTCGGGATGAATCAGGCAATAGCTACTCCCCTGAAGAATACACACTGCAACAGGCTGCGGATGGTGCCATCTTCCTGGTGCCCCGGGGGGCCAAGATGGAGGCCACAGACTGAGCTGGCCTAGAGGGGTGGGACTGGTGATGGGAATTTCCTTCCTTACCTCCTGATAAAGGTACCCCCTAACCCTGGGACCCAGAAGGCAACAATGGTAACAAGGTGTTTGGGAGCTCCCAGGTGTTTATAGAGGCTTGCCTTGAGGGAGCATGAGAGGGCAGGGTTGGAATGTCTTCCCTGACTCAGTCTCTCAGATCTCCAACCTCCACCTCTTGTCTAAGCTTTGGTCTATAAAGTGCTCTACAGAAATAGCTTTTCATTGTGTCTTCCTTCTTGAGGGAGGGTGATGAAGCTGAGCACTCCACAGTGACCACTGCCTGTTGGGGGTAGGTAGCGAATACTGCCAAGCTCATTTCTTCCTCAGAGCTCTGTATGAGAGGTACACATAAAACGGGGTTGAGCAACATGGACATCTCCCATCTTCATCCCTTTTCAGAGTGATAGGCCATGCATGATCTGAGGAATCTCACACCTCCTAAACCCTATTTATAGAGCTTGGAGAGCTGCCAAAGCTGTTTAGACCTTCTATACAAGTTCCCTCCTCTGTTAATCCTTGGAACACAAAAAAAGCTAGAACACCCACAGGACTTTTTTCTATTCTTTCCCTCCTGCTTACCTTTTTTTTTTTTTAATTATTATGGGTACATAGTAGTTGTATACCTTGAGTGAGTGCCTTGGCATCAACCTAGCTCACAGCAACCTCAAACTCCTGGTCTCAAGCACTCCTGCTGCCTCAGCCTCCCGAGTTGGAACTGGGACTACAGGCATGTGCCACCATGCCCGGCTAATTTTTTCCTCTATATATTAGCTGGCCAATTAATTTCTTTCTATTTATAGTAGAGACGGGGTCTCGCTCTTGCTCAGGCTGGTTTCGAACTCCTGACCTGGAGAAATCCGCTTGCCTCGGCCTCCCAGAGTGCTAGGATTACAGGTGTGAGCCACCGTGGTCGGCCTAGTTGTATATCTTTATAGGCTACATGCGATGTTTTGATACAGGCATACAACATGAATTAATCAATCTCCTGCTTCTCAGCCTGGGTGCTAATGTGCCTGGGCTTGCTCAAACTGAGCAAATGTGCCTGGGCTTGCTCAAACTGAGAAAGCGGTTCTTGACTGGAATGAGTTTGATTAGACACCAAAGTTTCAGAGGATTTCATATCCAAGCCTTGATAAAACCTGCTCTACAGTGGTGTAAAATATGCATCCTGTGAAACTTTCTTTTCCTGATTATATGAGACAAACACTATCCAGTTCTTGTTTGGGGGCCCTCCTTTTCTAGATTCTTTAAGTTTTGCTTACTAATTCTTTTTTTCAGACAGAGTCTCTCTGTTGCCCCAGCTAGAGTGCCGTGGCGTCAGCCTAGCTCACAGCAACCTCCAACTCCTGGGCTCAAGCAATCCTACTGCTTCAGCCTCCCAAGCAGCTGGGACTACAAGCATGCGCCACCATGCCTGGCTAATTTTTTCTATCTATATTAGTCAGCCAATTAATTTCTTTCTATTTATAGTAGAGATGGGGTCTCAACTCTTGCTCAGCTGGTTTCAAACTCCTGACCTCAAGCAATCCGCCCACCTCGGCCTCCCAGAGTGCTAGGATTACAGGCGTGACCACATTGGGCCTGCTTACTAATTCTTTCTTCTTGAAAAAGAATATAATTGGACTAAGTATCAGAATTCCTTAGCCACATTAAGTCCAATCAAACCTTCCAGAGGCCAGGCGTGGTGGCTCACACCTGTAATCCCAGCACTCTGGGAGGCCAGGTGGGAGGATTGCTCCAGGTCAGGAGTTCGAAACCAGCCTGAGCAAGAGTGAGACCCTGTCTCTACTATAAATAAAAAGAAATTAATTGGCCGGGCGTGGTGGCACGTGCCTGTAGTCCCAGCTACTCGGGAGGCTGAGGCAGCAGGATTGCTTGAGGCCAGGAGTTTGAGGTTGCTGTGAGCTAGGCTGACAGCCAGGGCACTCACTCTAGCCTGGGCAACAAAGCAAGACTCTGTCTCAAAAACAAACAAACCTCCCAGACAGGATGGGTGTGGTGGCTCACACAAAGTAATCCCAGCACTTTGGGAGAGGGGAAGATCACTTGAGGCCAGGAGTTCAAGAGCAGCCTGGGCAACATGGCAAAATCCACCTCTATAAAAAAGTTTAAGAATTGGTTGGGCATGGTGGTGCTCACCTATAGCTCCCAGCTACTCAGGAGGCTGAGAGGGAGGATCGCCTGAGGCCAGTTTGAGGCCTCTGTGAGGTACAACCACTCTACCCAGGAGACCCTGTCTCTGAAAACAAAACCACATCTCCTGGCTTCCAGCTGGGTGGTTCCTTATCTTCTGAGCCACTGAAATTAGTTTACCTCTTTGGAGTATTTTATCTCTATCCATTTATTTAACTAGTTCCTCTACAATGAAACCTTATTTCCAAGTTCTAATATAGACACCACAGATGTTGAGACACAAAAACAGATTAAAGATGTAGAATCTTCATGCCTTTAAGCTTAGGGAATGAAAACAACTTGAATCTTCTCAAAAAATTCATCTTTTTAAAAAAAATGCCCCCACATTTCAAGTTGTAAAAGGTAGAGCCCTTAAGTTAGTTCTTCAGAAATCTGATTTTTATATTAAATATTATGATGTATAATTAAAAAGAAACTATTTTACTAGTTCACCCGACAGGATTTTTTATTCTTTCCAAGCTCACAAATGTGTCAATTCCTGGCTTCAGATGTCTACTCAAGAACCAGATAGCTGGCTAACAAATACTTGTTCACCAAAGACGAGATATATCATGCCCCTCCACAACTCCACGCAACAGATGGCAAGCATGGCTCCCAGTGGAGACCTACTGAGCTCAATGGCAATGTTAGCTTGTACAACTTGATTTTCCCTTGTCAGGGGAGCTAGAAAAAGCACATGCTTAAGTGGAGCGATAGTAAATAGCTTACTTCTACTGGGCCAAGACTTACTTCTGCAGTGAGAGCTTGTTTCTATTTTCATTAAACCATGACACTGAATGGGATAAATTTCAACATAGTAAATGAAAGTGTTAGACTTCAACAACCAATACTCCCTAACCTGAATTTGAACATGTATTAAGATATTTGTTTTTCCATGTTCTCTAAGCAGTGATGCCCACATAATGCCTTGTGCCTTAAGGATCTGAGGAAGCACTAGTAAGGGATTAAAAAGAGGCTGCTACTGGCTGGGTGTGGTGGCTCACATCTGTACTCCTAGCACTCTAGTAGGAGGGTGAGGTGGGAGGTTTGCTTGAGCTTAGGAGTTCTCAAGACCAGCCTGAACAAGAGCAAGATCCCATCTCCACACACACACAAAAAAGAAATTAGCCAAACAACTAAAAATAGAAAATATTAGCCAGGCATGGTGGCATGTGCCTGTAGTACCAGCTACCTGGGAGGCTGAGTCAGGAGATCCCTTGAGCCCAAGAGTTTGAGGTTGCTGTGAGCTAGGCTGATGCCACCGTACTCTAGCCCAGGCAACAGAGTGAGACTCTGTCTCAAAAAAAAAAAAAAAAAAAGCAGCTGCTAAAAATTATAATTTACCAGACAACTGGTATGTCAGACACCTACATTTCTGATCCCCAAATCTGAAATGGTACAGTATATAAAGTATGAAGCTATTTATCATAGATACCATTAAGACAAAACAAGCAGAACAAAGTCAAACAAGTTATTTATTAAAAAACCCATTCACAAAATAGAATGACTAGATTAATTAGATAGAGCTGCAAGCAGCTTACGTCCACTGCATGGCAGTGAGAATGAAGTACAGTGGCTCAGATAAAGGTTGTCCTCAACAAGGATGTTCCTGCAAAAGGAAAAAGAGGTTATGAAGTATTTACATAAGCAGAGGTGCCAGATTTTACAATTACATACACTGTGCCCAGCCTCAATTTGGTTTGAAATGCCTGTCATTTTTTTACTTGGGAAATACAGAGCACTCTCTTGTTGACCATTACCTTATAAAAGCTTACCTTTTAGCCATGAACTTGGACAGATGAGTTTCTGGCTTTTTAAATTTTTTTTAAGAGTTCATAAGACAGTAGTAGCAGACTCCTCCCTAGAAAAGTAAAGAACCTTTAGAACTAGCTCTTTTCTGAGACCAAGTCCCATCTCAAGCTAAACCTCCCACCTCCCATTAATGGTCCACCCATCCTCCCACCATTTGGGGAAAAGATTCTAATGCATTACTTTGAGCCATTGTTTTAAGGAAATGGGTCAAAGGAAGGTAAATAAAATTAAAGGGCAAAAATATATTACGATAGTAGAAATTAATATGCTCACTTCCTTCAATTAGGAGACACCAAAAGTAGGGTGTCAATTTAAAACAATTCATCTCCAGAAAAACCAAGTTCAGCTTAACTGGACTATTTTGGCTCAATATATTAAGTAAAATGCAACAAAACTGGATTTTTAGGTAACTATATGGATGTAAGTAAAATCTGTTCTTACCTACAAGCATAGCAATAAAACCTTTCCTCCTGGTTCTGACTGCTAGTCCTAAGAGTCAGGTGTGCCTTACTCTTGTCTGCCTCCTTCCTTGCGATGATCACTGAAACTTCACTCCCTCCTAGCTTTCAAGGAGCGTGTCGTGGCCTGTCCCTGGCTTATCTGTACTCCACATACCACAAGTGTCTACTCTCAGCTGCAGAGTGTCTGAGCTCGGAGCCATTCGCGCTATACTTGCTAGCAGTTCCTAGTAGCTGAACATCTCTCCTGGATCTTTAAAGGCATTGTCACGAATCCTGAGGTATCTGCAAACTCCCTCAATAGTTAAGGTTCCACCTGCTATTGCAAACTCAGCCAATATCATGGAACTATCACCCATGCTTTCCCACCCACCACCACCTCCCACCCTCCTCCAACCACCCTCCCCCCCAAACTTCCAAGTAACACACCCATGGGATGGAATATACAATTCCTATTGATAAACAAATCTCTATGCTACTAGGTACAATGGCACTGAAATTATTAGGGTAAAGGCAAGGCTCAAAATAACCTATGTACAAATAACAATTATTGGATATTAACTGTTGATGGTTTAGAAATCATTTTCCATACAATTAACACTATAGGATGGTTGTGTAATCTTGTGCCATATAAAGGAAAACTGCAGTTAACATGAAATTATGCAGAAAAGAATATGATTCCTTCTATTTTTATAGTTTCAATTTCTAATTTAACTACTGTGGTAAACCTATAACTTCCGAACACCCACCCAACCAGAACCCAGTAAAACTGCAGTTTTCCTTTAATGTAAGCCTATTTTTATGTTCATTAAAATTCTTGCTGGTACTGGTCATTTTAAAGAAGTCTCCGAAACACTTCTAATCTGTGGATTTACGGGGTGGCATTAGCCACAGCTGGTTTCTATTATCTGGCAGAGCTTTGAACTTGAATTGTGGTAGAAGCATTCAACATTATCAGGGGTAGTGGGTAGGGAAAAGTCCAAATCTCTGCCAGTCCCAAATCCATACAGTTGTCATTTCATTCAAGAGAATTAAATCGTTTATTGATTACACATGATAATGGTTGATACACAAGCTTCATTCCCATCTATAATTTTTATCTGGTACCATTATTCAATTTAGATATATTGCATAGGATATGCCAACAATCATCTTTATAACCAATAATTCCATGATTTTTCCTTGCATGACCCCTTTTAATGGTGAACTTCAGGTCACAACAGTAACCATCAGTTCAACTACATCAAGGTTTCTGAAGACAATGGCTTCTCCACCCAAGCAGGTTGTAAATGAATTTCAAATAGAACCTGGCATCACCCTGAAGGAATTCTATCTTCACACTTTTGGGGAAGTTTACCAAAATGGCTTCAGAGTAGACTAACTTTACAACAGCACTTAAAAGAAAAAAAAAAAAAGACACATTTATTCAGCGTCATGATCAGACTATTACATTTAGCAATCAACAGCATGGGTGCAAAAAAAAAAAAAAAATCTACATTAAAACCCTTTGTTGGAATGCTTTACACTTTCCACAGAACAGAAACTAAAATAACCTGTTATACAATTAGTCACAAATACAGTCCTCGAGTTTTTTGCCCATACACATGAGTATTGTCTAAAACATGTCTTCTTTGTAGCAGCTAGGCCCTGCCACCACTGTGCTTGGCTGAGTTCACAAATCTGTTGTAACCTGTAGCTTCCCTGTCACTTCTCTGGCTCTCCTCTCCTGCTAAGCTTTGTTTCCTGTTGAACAATATGGAATAAAGTTGTTAATCTAAACATATTAAGACTCATGGCTACAATCCAACAGCAAGTTTTGTTCCCACAAATTTTGCTGATCTGAATATTAACTTAATATCCACAATTTTACTGCAATTACAATGTTAACTATGTTGCACTGCTCAGCTACATTAGGGTTACTGGGTTCATCAGCAATTTAAGAATTAAGCTACACACAAAAAGGTGCTTACTTACCTGGGAATAATTAAAACCTTCTGCCACTGCCATAGCTACTGCTGCTACTGGAACCACCATAGCCACCTGAGAACAAAATTTTTCTTTTTAAGGTTTGGAAGTGCTAATAAAAATGTTTTTATATTTGAGATAATCAAAAGCTTAAAAAATTTGACTATTTTAAAATGGCCCCAGTAGAACTGATAATGGAGGTATAGAGGTCACATTAGTTTTCCAATTTAATTGCAAATTATACCCCCTTTTGGAGGTTTTCAATTGTCAGCTTTTTAAAGATTTTGATTTTAGAGATGGGGCTCTTGCTTTATTCCCCAGCCTGGACTTGATTCCTGGGCTGAAGGAATCCTGTATCATGCTCTCAAAGTAGCTGGGACTATAGGTGTATATCATAAAGTCCCAGCTTTTTATTGATCATATATATACCACCCTAAAGAGTTAATCCACTGCTTTCTAGTAGTAGCTATCCTCTTATATTAACCAATATTACATACACACTATACCTTGGTTTCGTGGTTTGGCAAAGTATTGGCCTCCACCACCATAGGGGCCAGAGCTTCTGCCTCCAAAATTTCCTCCCTTCATGGGTCCAAAATTTGAAGACTGATTGTTGTAATTGCCAAAATCATTGTAGCTTCCACCACCTCCAAAATTGCTTCCTAGGAATGCAAAGAGGGCCTTTGTCTGTTACTTGAGGAATATAAGCCCCAATTCTGTTTAGTGTTTTATTCAAAAGGCTGTATTATCTGCCTGCCTTCCTCCTCAACTCTGGTGGCTCCAAATCTTTGTATTTCATTCTCTGGGGAAGGCATGCAGTACAATGATCTAACTTGCCATGACATTAAGAGTTTTTCATGACGGCATTTACAAGCACACTCTCCAGTCTTAAGGCCTTTATGGATTCAGGGCCACTGCAAACATAAGTTCCCTGGATGTAACAACTGAATGTCTAAGGTCCCAAAGGAGTTAAGATACTAAATCCTGCCATTATGCTAATCTAACTCAAACACACCACTATCTACTTCTCAGGGAGTGAGGCGGCCCCAGCTTAAAGCTAGGAGGAGGTAGCATAGCAAGCTGTTTTTTAATATACCATGCACTGTACCACACAATGCTTTAAGAGCTTCAAACCCCAATATGGGCAGCACAAACTCTAAAAGGCTAATCTAGCTATCACACCAAGTACTTGGATCACTGGATACCTACCACTACCACCGCCAAAGCCGCCTCCGCCTCCTCCGTTGTTATAGCTGTCATAGCTGCCACTCCCGCCATAGCCACTGCCCTGGTTTCCATAACCCTGTCCACCACTTCCATAGCCTCTGCTTCCACCAGAGTAACCAGGGCCGCCTCCTCCATAACCACCTATAAGAATACAATTCTTCTCAATAAGACCAAAGTATTTAACAGTAAAAATTTGTTCAATGGCTAAAGGCCTGCTCACAGCATGCGTGTTATGGGCCAAATGTAACTTGTCATGCACTAGTTTTAGTCTCTAACTAGCCTACTCTAAAGACAGAGATTGCTAGGTATTTTTGCCAATGTACTCCTTAAAAGAGCTTACCATCATTACCAAATCCATTGTACCCATCCCCACTGCCACCATATCCACCACCACCACGGCTGCCACCAAAGCCACCTGGAAAGAAACAAAGTTGTAGATTAGAAGTATACATGAACAGCATTTATGTCTTGGAAACACCTCCTGTACTGTAAATAAAAAGATTTTCATATTCAAGATTTTAACTTTTGGTTAGAAAAACTACATGTAGATAACATATAACTTTGAAATTGTAGGCCAGGACAAGTCACACAGGGAAATCAAATTACAAGCTTTCTATTACGTTTTAGTAAACCTTAGCTAACCACACATACCTCGACCACTGAAGTTTCCTCCACGGCCAAAGTTGTCATTCCCACCAAAACCACCTCCACGACCACCACCAAAGTTTCCAGAACCACTTCGACCTTAAGAGACAGAAGAGTTTAAGCGTTAAACCACACATATTGTTATAACTCTAAGTTATCTTCAAAGTTTAATTAAACAATAGTCAAACACACCTCTTTGGCTGGATGAAGCACTAGCCATCTCTTGCTTTGACAGGGCTTTCCTTACTTCACAGTTGTGGCCATTCACAGTATGGTATTTCTGAACTAAAAAAATTTAAGATAAAAAGAACATGATCTTAGGGTTTAGAATATCACATGGATTTCCGAACACTTAGTAAATGCCAGTGATCTGATACTTACTGACAATCTTATCCACAGAATCATGGTCATCAAAGGTTACAAAAGCAAAGCCCCTCTTCTTGCCACTGCCTCTGTCAGTCATGATTTCAATCACTTCAATTTTCCCATACTGTTCAAAATAGTCTCTTAGGTGATGTTCTTCCGTGTCTTCTTTAATGCCACCAACAAAGATCTTTTTCACAGTTAAGTGGGCACCTGGTCTTTGAGAATCCTAACAGGAGGAAAACCATTTATGCTACTTAGATTACCAAAATTGTTTAAGTTTAGAATACTTCCCAAGTCTGAGTCCACTAGCAGAACATCTCCAAATGAATATGGGAAGAAGGGTAGGAAAAAAACACTCACTTCTCTGGAGACAGCTCTCTTTGGTTCCACAACTCTTCCATCCACCTTGTGTGGCCGTGCATTCATTGCTGCATCCACCTCCTCCACAGTGGCGTACGTGACAAACCCAAAGCCCCTGGAGCGCTTGGTGTTTGGATCTCTCATTACCTGAGAAAAATGTTAATTCATTTAGCGCATATACTGACCCCAGAAATTACTGACACTAACTTTCTGAATAAAAGGAAACGTGATGCCAGTCCTTCATACAAAGCCCTGGTTTCCCACTACCCTACATTTAAGAGGCAGCTTTTCCAATCAGAAAACAAGTTCCTTTGGAAGTTTACTTCTAACTATAATACCATTAACCTTTTTTAGTATTCAGACAGAAACTGCACAAAGGTAAACCAAGGGAGCTGACCAATTCTATTGCCTTTTGTCCCTTCCAAGTCTTACCACACAGTCTGTGAGCGTTCCCCATTGCTCAAAATGGCTCCTCAGACTCTCATCGGTTGTTTCAAAGCTCAATCCTCCGATGAATAGCTTCCGCAGCTGTTCGGGTTCTTTAGGAGACTAAAGTAGGGGAAAAAGCATTACACGGGCTTTAATACGAAACAGTTTCCACTAAGGAGAAGCAAAACTAGACGGTGGCGTACGTAGCACGTATTGTTCGTTCGGGTCGCAACAAGACACGTGCTTGCCCCCATTAGGGGAGGTGGTTCGCTGGGGGCTGGGAGTGCTGGGAAGCTGCAAGCGCATGCGTCCCTACTCTCCCTCTGACGCACGCGCAACAAAAGGCCTGGCAGGGAGGGGTGCATCGCCAAAAAGGGATTAATAGCTCTTAAGGTAACTCGCTCACCGAGACAAGGCAAAAAATACACCGTATGTGTCTCAGAACTTTGCAATGAGTTACGAGCCAGGAGTGATACCCAGTGGTTGACGGACGGCGGCCTCATGGCGACGAAGAGGACAAAATGGCGACTTGAACTTTGGGAGGGGTAGGCCCTGGAAGCGACCGAAGAACCGTCGAATGGGCTGGCGTGCAAGCAACGAAACCAAGCCGCATCCTACCGCATTGAGGATGGGACAAGGGAGAAATTCAAATTGGAAAGGACTTGTTACTCACCTCTGACTTAGACATGACGGCAGTGGGAAGAGAGACTTCAACGATGCTTCCTCGACAGCGTCCACGGACAGAAAGGAGTAAGCTAACGAACGTATCTGCCAGCCTACCTTCGGCCTCTCTTTTTTATCCCGCCTCCTAGCCTTCGGCATTGGTAGACCCCGCCCCCACCTAACTCTGATTGGATAGTTGAAATCGCTTACTCCTACGATTGGCCTGTGGTACCACACGCTGTGAAACGTCACCCGTTTGGGCATTCTAAGTAGTCTCCACCCCTTGAAGTCCATTGGTTCCCGAGTAATTTTATCCTTAACCTGTCTGATTGGTTAACCGAATAATCATTCATATTTGAACCCAAAGCGTTTAAACGTGTTTTTAATACTACACGCCCAAACATTACATTTAACTCGCTTGACAAAGCATTATTAATACTATACATTAAAAAGCAGGTAGCTGGTGACGATTTTTTTTTTGCAACAACAGCCTGTTGAGCGCATGTGTAGTAAAATGGAGAATTTACGCAGGCGCATTAAGAAGTTCCGTCTGCCTCTTGGAAACACGTGAAATGGCGGGCGGGAGAGGGCAGTGAACCTACGGCGCCTGCGTCGTGGCGGGAGTTATGCTCCGCTTTGCGCATGCGTAATGGGCGGAGTAAAGGTCTCAGCCCAGGATTGGTTGCGCAGGCGCAGGGAAGGATCCGTTTTGGCGGGCGGTTGGCGTTGCGCAGAAGGCGGCGGCAGAGGTGGCTTGTGGTGCCGTCTCACCATAGAGGAATAGGGCAGAAGGTAGCGTGAGTGATCATTCTCGATCCCGGGTAAGTGGCACACAGTCTTATTTACCCATACGAGGGCTTGAACTGACTCCAGTTAGGCCCGTTATTGTGTGAAATGAATGGACTGCGGGGTGGGGGAAAGTGAAGGGGCAGCGGTGGGTCGGGCCAACCAATAGTAGAACAGGGGGCGGGATGTCTTATCCCTGTAGGTACTTTGGAGCTGTGCGGCCGACGAGTGTGACTGGCGAGTGTGCAGGCCAATTGTGTCTGCCTTGAGCTGCCGACTGATCGGCCCTTGGGCCATCGGAATGTGGGAGGCGGGCTTTCCCCTCCTGAGCAGCGTCTCACTGAGCCAGTGAGCACCGAGCGCGCGGTAGGTTGGGCTTCTCCAAGAGGCAGCGGTTTGACTCCAATGGGGAATGCGGGGGTCGGGCGGTTAAATGGATGGACCAAATCTGGAGCTAGTAGACGGACAAGCGGACGGACAGCCTAAGGAAGGCGCTCGGACGCGTAGTCCAATCGGCTCCACAAACCAGGGAAGTCTTAGACTCGGGGTTGTGAGGAAGGAGATTCAATGACCGTGATGGTGTGGGAGGGTGGATATTTCATCCACAATGACTTCTAACGAAGCCTTTAGGCCTTCGTCCCGTACACCTCCCTGTTAGAAAAAGTGTACATTTGTTCCTGTATTGGGCATTTTTTCCCCCCACTTCGGTACGTCCCACAGTCCACCAGTTTAGATTTTGGGGAACGGGGGAGGTTTTTTGACTTTGAAAACTCGCTTCTTTAGGGAGGCGGACTTAAAATGTTAGAACGAATAGGATAAATCCATGTAGTGCCGCGGAAAGGCGTCCGAGAAAAACCTCCATCATAATAATGCATACTTCCACGGACAGATAGGTATATTTATAGGCCATAGAAAAAGTTTTGGAAATCTACACATCAAAATGTGTTAGTTATAGGGACAAAGTGGGATCGAGGCAAGTTGGTTCTCTGTGGTTTAAATCTTTGCCGGGATAATAAATTGTGATTAAAATTAAATAAAAATGAACTCTGTTGTTTTTGTGTTTCTAGTCATAATCACATACTTCTCACCACCTCTTTTCTCTCTTTCATTATTCATGTTCCCAATGCTTTTATTTTAGTTTTTACCAGGAAATTTACCACGCATGTATATATTTACACCATTAAAGATTTCCTAAGCCCCTCTGCTTGTTCCCTTGAGGATGTCTGACTGGCTAAAAAGGAAGCTGCTTACAGAGAGTGATATTTAGGGTTTTGGGAACCGAAGACTCATACATACATCACTTGGATTATTTTTTACCTTTTGATTAGATTTCTTTCAAAGTGTAATTTACCTGCAGTCTGCTTCATGTTGGCAGTGCCCACTCTACTTATTCCAGGATCTTTGGAAAAGATACAAATTTTCATTACGTATTGGCTGTATCAGAGTCTTACTGCTTTATTGTTCACAGATTTATTTAGGGTCAAGGAAAAATATTTAAATACTGTAAGAAAATCAACTATATATAAATTACACTTAGGATTAAGACCTTTCTGACTTTATACCAAAGACAAATGATTTTAGTGAAGTTTACAATGAACAGAGGAGAGATTTCCATGTTCTCTGGCACTTGCAAAAGGACAAACCTATATTTTATACTTGGTTATAAACCTGTTTGTAGATATGCTAATAATGCATTTGCTGAGCTAAGAACTAAAGGGATGTGAGTTAAGGGTATCTGTCTTGGATTAATTTAGGTTTGAAAGGAATACAATCTTGATCTACTGCAAAGTTTTTCAACCTCAGCACTATTGATATTTTGAGCCACATAATTCTTCATTGAGAGGGTGGGTGGGTATCTTGTGCATCTGTGCATTGTAAAATGTTTGGCAGCATCCCTGGCCTTGACCCACTAGATGCCAGTAGCATCTCACTTCTCCCCACACCCCCATTTGTGACAATCAAAATGTCTCCAGACATTGCAAAGGGGGGGGCATTGAAATCTCCCTTAGATTAAAAACTCTTAATCTAAAATGCTAGGATTTGCTGGGTTCAGTAACATGAGGCTGTAGTCCCAGCTACCCGGGAGGCTGAGGCAGGAGGATCACTTGAGCCCAGGAGTTCTAGGCTGTAGTATGATGGTGGCATTGGGTAAAGGCGGGATAAGATGTGTGGTAAATGGATCACTAAATCCTATTGTTTATGTCTTCAGATATAGAATGGATCATTACTCCGCTAGATAAAAGGAAATTTTCATTAAGATTTTTTACCATTTCTTGCAATTTAAACATATAATTGGTTGCATCTTGTGTTTGTTTTGTTTCCTAAAATAATGGCATTTTTTTTTTTATGAGACAGAGTGTCACTCTGCTGCCTGGGCTAGAGTGCCGTGGCATCCTTGCTCACAGCAACCTCAAACTGGCCTCAAGCAATCCTGCCTCAGCCTCCTGAGTAGCTGAGACTATAGGCATGTGCCACCATGCCTGGCTGTTTTTTTCTATATATTTTTAGCTGTCTAAACAATTTCTTTCTATTCTTAGTAGAGACAGGGTCTCATTCTTGCTCAGGCTGGTCTCGAACTCCTTAGCTCAAACATTCACTCACCCACTTTAGCCTCCCTGAGTGCTAGGATTATAGGCGTGAGCCACTGCACCTCAGCGAGGATTATGGGTTTTTTTTTTGAGACAGAGTCTCGTTTTGTTGCTCAGGCTAGAGTGCTGTGGGGTTACCCTAGGTCACAGCAACCTCAAACTCCTGGACTCAAGCAATCCTCCTGCCTCAGCCTCCCGGCAGGGACTACAGGCATGTGCCACCATGCCCGGCTTATTTTTTATATATATGTTAGTTGGCCAATTAATTTCTTTCTATTTTTATAGTAGAGACAAGGTCTCGCTCCTGCTCAGGCTGGTTTCAAACTCCTGACCTCGAGCAATCCGAGGCCTCCCAGAGTGCTAGGATTACATGCTTGAGCCACCACGCCCAGCCGAGGATTATGTTTTTGAAGAAAGTAAACTTTGCCCCAGATGCTTCTTACATTTTTCACTTGATTTAAGCCTCTTTCCTTTTGTGAGATTCTTTTGAATCAGTGTCTCAAACTTTTTTGACTTTGACCCTCAGTAAGAAATATATTAACATTTTACACTGACCCTGTACATCCATTGAAACAAGTTTCACTAAACAAATGTGCAAAGCACTCTGATACTGTCTCATCTACGGTCTGCTATTTTGTTTTCTTAAAAAGGCCTATTTGCACTGAACTGATTTCAAAGCTGTTTAAAGACCTGTAGTTGGGGGTGGGGGTGGGGCAGGGATAATAACACTGATCTGAAGAATAGGTAACCAAGCAATCATGCTTGGATTACTTAGATTACTTACATTACTTAGATTACTCTTAGTGGATTCCTCCCATCTTCACCCCCATTTACTTGTACAGATGGTCCCCAACTTATGATGGCTCCATTTAGGATTTTTCAACCTTAAAATGGTGCAAAAGGAATACACATTCAGTAGAAACCATACTTGGAATACCCATACAACCATTCTGTTCTTCACTTTGAATACAGTATTCAATAAACTACATGAGATATTCAACACTTCATTAATAGGCTCTGTGTTAGATGATTTTGCCCAACTGTAGGCTAATTTAAGTGTTGTGAACATGTTTAAGGTGTTACGTTCAGTAGGTTAGGTGTATTAAATGCACTTTATTTATTTATTTATTTTTTTTTGAGACAGAGTCTCGCTTGTTGCCCAGGCTAGAGTGAGTGCCGTGGCGTCAGCCTAGCTCACAGCAACCTCAAACTCCTGGGCTCAAGCAATCCTGCTGCCTCAGCCTCCCGAGTAGCTGGGACTACAGGCATGCGCCACCATGCCCGGCTAGTTTTATATATATATTAGTTGGCCAATTAATTTCTTTCTATTTATAGTAGAGACGAGGTCTCGCTCTTGCTCAGGCTGGTTTCGAACTCCTGACCTCGAGCAATCCGCCCGCCTCAGCCTCCCAGAGTGCTAGGATTACAGGCGTGAGCCACCGCGCCCGGCTTGCACTTTATTTTTTGTTGTTGTTAAGAGAGCCCCACTCTTGCCCAGGCTAAATTCACAGCAACCTCAAACTCCTGGGCTCAAGTGATCCTGCTTCAGCTTCCCAAGTAGCTGGGACTACAGGCATGCACCACTACACCCAGCTAATTTTTCTATGTTTAGTACAGACAGAGTCTCTCTCTTGCTCAGACTGGCCTTAAACTCCTGACCTCATGGGATCCTCCTGCCTCAGGCTCCCAGAGTGCTAGGATTACAGGTGTGGGCCACCACACCCAGCTTAAATGTACTTTCAAAACAGTATTTTCAATTTATGGTGGGTTTATCAGGACATAATGCCATCTTAAGTCAAGAGCATCTGTGTAAACAGATTAATTGGTGACCTTTTCTTACTGTTTTTACTAATGCATTTTACTTTGAAATATTATAGGACCTGAACTGAGACTTCCTACTTTACTGTGGTGTGCAAGGAAAAATTGCTTGTTTTACTGTGAAGTCTCTTACAATATGGTGGTAGGTGCGATGAACATTTCTCTCTGGTGGGGAAATTTTAGTCTGCCATTTTTCATTGAAATTCTGAGATTATCACATTGAAGGCTCTAACTTTAGAAATATTTTTTGCCTTTAGAGAACCTGGTTTGGTTAAATTATACCCCTCTGTTAATACAAAGTGTTGAGCCCCAGTCATGAAAGTTAAAGCACTTGTTCTTGGTACTTAAAGACATACTGTTGCAACCAGATCTAAAAGGGTTGTTCTTTAGAAGGGAAAATAACATATCTTCACTGATCTGTGTGAAAACTAAATAGAAAGCTTCTATCTGGGTACTAGATCAGGATAATAATCAGGGAAAGAAAAAGAAAGAGCATTTATCTGAAGTAACTGGATTTTTATATGGCTAAGAAAGTTTTGGAGATTCTCAGAGCCCTTGCCAATACTCAAGTAAAAAGGTTGGTATCCAGGGTACAAAGATTTCTGAGGAAGACTAATGAGTCTTTTTTGCTTTTATTGAGGTATTTCTGTAACTACTTAGCATGATTTCTATATCTTATTGGAATAGCCCATTTAATAATTCCCCATAGTAAAGCAGTTCTAGCCTTTATTTTGTCATTTTACCTGGTTTATTTTTATTTCCATTTACCTTACATGAAATTGAGCCTAAAGCTGTGTTATGCTATTGATTTTTAAAGTAATAAATTATAGTGCAGGTTACAACTTGACTCAGTATAGCTTTTTTCTTTTTTTGAGACAGAGTGTCACTCTGTTGCCTGGGCTAGAGTGCCATGGCCTCAGCCTAGCTCACAGCAACCTCAAACTCTTGGGCTCAAGTAATCTTCTGCCTCACCCTCCCTAGTAGCTGGGATTACAGGTATGCGCCACCATGCTCATCTAATTTTTTCTATATATATTTAGTTGTCCAATTAATTTCTTTCTATTTTTAGTAGAGACGGGGGGTCTCGCTCTTGCTCAGGCTGGTTTTGAACCCCTGACCTTGAGCAGTCCTCCTGCCTTGGCCTCCCAGAGTGCTAGGATTACAGGTGTGAGCCACTGCGCCTGGCCTCAGTATAGCTATTTACATATTGTTATTCATGAGCTTGGACTCTGGGTAATATCATCTTTTTCTCCTGATATAAACTTTGATTTTGCTTCCATACTTACAGAGGATGACTTTAACTGATCATTGTACTGACAGGAAGGAGTCCAGGTCATCCTGAGAGGAGTTGGCTTGTACAGAGTCCAAGATGCAGATTTGTTGGATTTCTGCAAACCACTCGAAGTCACATATTTATTTCTGATGACAACTTTACACTTGTGCTGGAAGAACACCCACAGTGACAACTGCTGCCTATGTTTAGTCTGTCCAGGAACTCTACCAGCTAGCATGTTTGCAGAAAAACCTACACTGTTCTTGTTAGCAGCTATGTAAACATTAGACCTTTCTGAGTTTGTCTTCTCAGGTCTGCCAGTTTATTTTTGGGCAAATCGTATCCTGTGGTTGCCTTACTTTACCCTTTGAAGTGAGGGATTAAACATTTTAGGCATTCTTTGGGTTACTTGAAGCCCAATTCTTTTTGGATCAATAAATGGTTTTACATATGTCTAGTTTATGATTTTTTATTTTTATCTTTGAGACAGAATCTTGGTCTGTTGCCTAGGCTAGAGTGCCGTGGTATTGGGCTTGCTCATAGCAGCCTCAAACTCCTGGGCTCAAGCGATCCTCCTGCCTCAGCCTCCGGAATAGCTGGGGGTACAGGAACATGCTACCATGCCTGGCTAATTTTTTTCTATTTTTAGTAGAGACAGGGTCTCACTCTTGCTCAGGCTAGTCTTGAATTCCTGACCTCAGGCAGTCTTCTGCCTCAGTCTCCCAGAGTGCTAGGATTACAGGCGTGAGCCACTGCTCCTGGCCAAGTTTATGATTTTTAAATTTTTATTTCCCTTGTGTATTAGTTTCTTGTAGCTGCTATAATAAAGTACCACAGATTCGGCTTAAAACAAGAGGAATTTATTCGTTTCACAATTCTGGAGGCCAGAAGTCTGCAGTCAAGATGTTGAGCCCCTTCTGGAGGCTCTAGGGGGGAGTGCGTTCCTTGATGGTGGTTGGCATTCCTAGGCTTACAGCTCATATTTCTCTGCTCTGATTTCCTATTGTCTTCACCTTTGTGTATTTGTCTCAAAAGTTCATCTGCTTCTCTCGTAAGGATACATGTGATTGCATTTAAGACTCACTTGGATGAACCAGGATAAATTCCTCCTCATATCTTTTAATCAAATCTTTTGCTATATAAGGTAGTATTCACAGGTTCAAGGATTAGGATATGAAACTTTTTTGGAGGGCCACCATTCAGACCATTACACCTTGATTCCCTAATCCCTTCCCAAATAAATTTGACCTGATTCCAAAAAAAGGTTTTGAAAAATGAAAGAGAGGCTTATGAAAAATAAAAGGCTCTGTAACCTGTATTCTCAATCTACTCCTGCCATTCATTAACTAGTGATATAACCTTGGCTGGGCCATTTGCCCTCTTTGGTCCTTAGTTTCTTTTTTTTTTTTTTTTGAGACAGAGTCTCGCTTTCTTGCCCAGGCTAGAGTGAGTGCCGTGGCGTCAGCCTAGCTCACAGCAACCTCAAACTCCTGGGCTCAAGCGATCCTCCTGCCTCAGCCTCCTGAGTAGCTGGGACTACAGGCATGAGCCACCATGCCTGGCTGATTTTTATATTATATATATTAGTTGGCCAATTAATTTCTTTCTATTTTTATGGTAGAGACGGGGTCTCGCTCAGGCTGGTTTTGAACTCCTGACCTTGAGCAATCCACCCGCCTCGGCCTCCCAGAGTGCTAGGATTACAGGCGTGAGCCACGCGCCCGGCCTTGGTCCTTAGTTTCTTCATCTTACATGGAATGAGTTGGATAAGTGATAGCTCACATCCTTTTTGACCTCCGACTTTTGTGATATGACTTCTAAGTCATCTTGGAGTTTGTTTTTTAAGTGAATAATTTCACATGCAAATTAAACATTCCAAATTCTAACATTTTGGGCCTGTATAGTCCTATGGTATTCTTGCCTAGAACTTGAGGGACAGAAGATTGAGTTATTCGTTAATTGTCAGCTTGGGATATTAACATAGGGTAACAAAACTGCTTGATAACTGTGCTTAAACGTTTTTGAAGAAAAGATTTTCTACAAAGAGTGTAATGGCCTAACTGGGCCATTTTTACTCTCGTAGTGAGACTGTGGACTATGTAGTCTGGATTTCCTTTCCAATAATAGTATTTATCAAAATTAAACACTGACAGATTTTTCTACCATAAACTAGGTCATGGATAGAGTAAAAATGTTCACATGTCTGAATCTTAATCTTCACATTTACTGAGTATCTCTTCCATTGTGTTTTATTGCTAGGAAGGACACTAGAAGGCATGAGCTTGAGATGGTGTACTTGAAAAAACTGTTTCAAGATCAAGTTTTATAACACACTCATTATTTATTTCTTCCATGGAAAGGAGGAACCAAATTGAATTCAAGTATTTCTCTGATTGTAATCTACGTTTCTTAGAATAAAGCAAGTTTGTATCTGAGCCAGTGGGCATAATTATGTCGGAAAAAAATGCCCTGTGCTAAAGAGGTCAACTAACAGGCTGGGAAATCTTAAGTTTGGTTTCTGAGGCAAATCCTTGAACTCCTTGTGCCTTTTTCCTCATCCCTAAATCACCACAACTCACCTCACAGGGAGTTGTGAAGGGTAATATACTGCTAATTTGTTCAGTATTTCACAATAATAAATTATGTGTAAAGATCTGATAAAACATAGGCAAACCTCATTTATATGAGTAGTTGGAGACAAGCATAGATAAAACTTACAGATAATAAAGAAAATTCATTAAAATTTTTTTGCTTCCTTTATTACCAAACATTTTACCGTCTGTTTCCTATATAATTTCCAAAGTATTTTCTTGTTCTTTTTTCATAATAGACTTAAGAGATAAGTAAGGCAAATAACTAACACCAGGTTATGTAATAAAGGAATCAATTCATCAGAAGGACATAACAGTCCTAAATGTTCATACAGCTAATAATAAAGTTTCAGAATACCCAAAAGAAAAAAGAGAAATGAAATAATAGACATCTGCAATTGTATTTGGGAATTTCAATACCTTTCATTAATTGATAAGTAGACAGAAAATCAGTAAGGAAATAGAAAACTTGAACAGCATTATCAAATAATCTGATATAATTGAGACTTATAGAATAGCACACATAGCAACAGCAGAAGACACTTGCTTTTACAGTGCACAAGTAACATTTACCCAGACAGACCATCTTCTGGGTCATAAAACAAATCTCATATTCAAAAGGATTCAATCATACAAGTCCGTATTTTCTGGCCTTAGTGCAATTAAGTTAAAAACCAATAACAGAAAGACATCTGGAAAAATACGCAAATATTTGGAAACTATACAACACACTTCTAAGTAACCCACAGAGATCAAAGAGGAAATTACAAAGGAAATTAGGAAATATTTTGAATGAAAATGAGAAGATGTCATATCAGAAAACTTGGGCGACTTGGGGTACCACGCCTGTAATCCCAGGTACTAGGAGGATTGCTTAAGGTCAGGAGTTAGAGAACAGCCCGGTAACTGTAACAGGGCACTCATCTCTTAAAAGAAATTATCCAAGCACAGTGGCACGCCTATAGTCCCAGCCACTTGGGGCTGAGGTGGGAGGATCACTTGAGCCCCCCAGGAGTTTGAGGCTGCAGTGAGCTGTGATCATGCCACTGCACTCCAGCCTGGGTGACAGAGTGAGACCCGTCTCAAAAAACAAAAAAACCCCAAAACTTTGGGATGCAGTTCTGGAAGTTCTTGGAGGGAAATTTGTAGCTTTAAGCACTTCACCTGCAAAAGCAGGTCTAAAGTCAATGACTGGCCAGGTGTGGTGGCTCGTGCCTGTAATCCTAGCACTCTAGGAGGCCAAGGTGGGCGGACCACTCAGGGTCAGGAGTTTGAAAC